GATCTCAGAGGAGGCGGAGGGTCCAGCTGCTGCTGAGGGGTCTCGGTCGTCATCTCAGCTCTGACGTACGACTGGCGTAGAGTGAAGAGAGGGAGGGAGAAAAGACCAGCCGGGAGATGTTTCAGAAGAGAAAAATGTCGGATCCGGCGGTCAGTGTCCTTGCGAGCGAGCGTTACTCCGCCAGTGGTCCTCAGAATCCCAGCGCAAAATGGAGTGAAATCTGTCTCCAGTTACGCACGACTCTCCCGTTACGCACGGTGCTCCCTTGACGCATGCAGAACGCACGGCGGGTACGCACTGACACAGAGAGGAAGAGGAAGAGAGAGTGGGGGGAGCTGGTTATCCACTGGAGACTGAGTGTCCAGGACTTCAGCTCGACACAGAGGCTCCACTGGGTGTCACAGCGGCGCTAAGTGGTGCTGTGTGGCGCGCCCGGTGGCCATCGACCGCCTTAATAGTCCCTCAAGTGGAGGAAACACGAAAACCCTTCGACTTATTGCGCGCAACAGTCCAGCCAAACAAAGCCCGACCACCTATCATTTCATAAATCTTTCTTCCCTCTGCGAGACCCCCCCACCCCACCCCCACCCATTCTCCTCATCCGCACTCCGCGCCTGCAAATCTCCCTGAAATCAGTGACGAATAGAGCCACCCCCCTCCACCCTCTTGCCAAATCTGGCCCAAGTCCACTTACCGTTCTCAGCAGCGTTAAAGCCCCTCATTCTCTCCTCGTCTTCTCTCTCCCCCTCCCTCCCACCTCCTCTCTCCAAGTTCGGACTACACGCAATTAAGCAATCTATCAAACCTCCCCCAGACATCCCAATCAACAGCGCCACACGCCAGACGCACAAGTTAAAAACGAGCTTTTTTCCCCCTCTGGTCCGTATGTATGAAGTTGTGATATCAGCCCAATGTGCAACACATCATACATTTTCCTGACACGAATAAACCACCACAATATGTGCAAAAGGTCCAGCTTGCAATTGAAACCATGATGCCAAAAACATTCACATGGGCCTACATGATATCTGCCGCAGATAATACCCAAACGCATCGCTGTGGAGCAATAAAAAACGCACCATCTTGTATTATTTGTATTATTTTGCTCATAATTTCCTCCCAAACTGGTCCAGAGGATAACAAAAACAAACTGTCGCGGTGCCGGGCTGGGGCGAGGAGTGTGAGAGATGGAGAGGTGGTGGTCTTTACCGTGCGTGTGTAAGCGGGGGGTTGCTCTGAGTAAATGACTTTGACATGAGTGGAAGCAGGCTTTTTCCATCAAGCCCGGCCCTGGATACCACACACAGCGCGCCAGTGTCAGCTTACCGCCCCGGGCCAGAGCCGGTCCCATGGGCCCCACGTTCATTAGAGAGAGAAAAGCGAAATTAGGCGAGCGGGCGTCGACAGTTTCCTCCCCTATGGAGACATCACACACAGATTTGTCCAACATGATGGAGTTATATATCCCATAAAGGTAATATCAACATCCGTGCTGCGTCGGAGCGGAGATCATTGGGCTTTGAAGGGGGTGAAAAAAGTGGTTTTTTGTGGCTGTCGCTAAAAGCACAGCTCTTTGGTTGTGTTTTGCATGTTTGTCACGATTTATTTTTACATTTAATAATTACTAGTCATGCATAAGTGATATTTCAGAGCAATTTTAGGTACATTTTATTTCGTCCTTTGTTTCCTACAGGCCAATTGTGCGGTTTGTAGAAAATAACACGCCATCAGTGAAAACGTTGCAGAAAAAATATGTTAAATAAATATTTTGACATTTTATTTCACACACTGTAATCTGTGTCTGTGCACGTGTGCGCCGACACAACCGTTTTAAGTTTAGATATAGCCCGGAGGATTTTCCAACAACAATAACCAGCAACAATAACCTTTGCACTTTGCACAACAAAGGATGTGCGGATAAAATCATTTTCCACCGTGACACACAGAGCAGTTTGGAGGATCTTAACGGCCCCAGAAATTTCCTGCGACATCAAAACTTATGACCCCCGCCGAGATCAGGATGCCTCGGCTTGCAGAGGGGGATCTTTGTTCTGGGAGCGCTTTGAAGACGGCGCTCCGGCTGCTTTTTACGCACTGAGATTATATGAGCTCCTAATTTAGCCTTTTGGAAATATCAAGTGGTCAGCGGCCTCCACGAAAGCTATTCAGGGGTGTTTCTGATAGAACAGTTTGTATTTGGAATACAGTCACGGCTGGAGGCCCATATGAGCCTGTTGCCGACACAATAAGGCCTTCTGTTTGTTTTCATGTTTAGGCTGAAATACATCGTTTATTCCCCATAAAATGTAAGATTTTTAGAGAATGTTTGTCGGGTTGTCTGACCTCAGGTAACCCTTTTCAATCTATTTTGAAATAAATAGGTCAGGTGTTACAATTATACTATATTTAAATTAAGTGTATTACATAAACACATTCATAAGGCTCCTATATTTCTCACTAAAAATAACCCCAAACAAATATGTAGAAACTAGTTTCTCCCAAATAATATACAAACAAAACAATTGTTTATTATATAACAATAACTATGGTTGTCTTAAATGTACAATGTGTTTTTTACTGCAAAATAGGCCTGTAATGCACAAAATCCGAACAATAAAGCAATAAGAAATACTGAGTAACGGTAATCTAATATTCCTTCGGCTGCTCGGCTTTTCTTCCTCCGCCTGTGTTTCCTGTGGCGGTGCCGGGAGCTTTGGAGCTGCCTCTCCGGGACTCTGGGAGGTCAGGCGCGGTTCAGTTTGCCGGAGTGACAGACTGTTTGGACTTCCTAACATTGTGCCTGACTAAAAGTTTGGTTTCATAACACTGCAGGGCCTTATTCGGGGGCAGTGATCCCCTGGAAGAGGCCCGAGTTCCTCCTCAGGCAGTCTGATGTGGACCGGATCCGGTTGGAAGAAATGCAGAGAGGAGCTGTTTACAAATATGAAGGATGAGCGTCATGACAACAAGGATGTAACCGTGCAGGGATACTGAGAGGACTCGGAGCCACGTGACAGCCCCACAGACAGGTATGCTGTTCCGGCGTTTCACCTGCAGGTTGCAGCATTGTCCCTGAAAACAGGAGCGAGTCTCACCTGTCACCTGTCAGACCGCACCGTGCGCTCCGAGAACAGACCTCAGTCCGGGCTGCCTCTGGGTTAAAGCCACAACATGTGTGTGCATCGTGATCAGTGGGGGCTTATGAGGCCTGCTCGGTGTAAAGCCACTGCAAGGGTCTCATCAAAACACGGCCAACTGTTCAGATGACTGCAGCGGCTGTTTAGTTTGGAAATGTGCACATTCGTTTAAATAATCCACCTGCATCAGTAAGAGTTCGTGTCCCAAACTACAACATCACATCACTTGAATTATGGGATTTATTATGTTTTACGTCCGGAGGAATTTGATCATCTTTAATGAAAGTAATAAACTCGCTTTCCAATAATAATCAAAAATGTGTTGTAATGCTGTGGCACCGGTAGGTTGAGGAGCAGTTTACAATCTTATAATATAAAATATCATCTACATTTTGTGCCATTATTCTTTTATTTTGTGAATGAATTTAGTAAAAAAAAATAGCCCATAATTTAACAGGCGTATGTTTGAAGAAAACTCTCACACTGAAAGCTTTTTATTGATGATACAAATACAAAACAGTGCACACTAAACACATTCACAAGGAACCGAGGACATTTGATATCAGAATAATCGGGAAATCATTAAGAAAACAACAGGAACACTATTTTACCTTTAAGGAATCTGTGTGTGGAGTCAATATATTGTCAATAAATTACATTTGGACGAATCATTCCTTAAGAGCCATAACTCTGAGGTTTTACATGGACAGTGGCCGGTCACTGGACCCGCGGCTGATGAGTCGGGGGTCTGTTTCAGGACCGCGGAGAGCAACTGCAGCCTCCGGGACACGACCTGTAAACAGTGTGTGTGTGTGTGTGTGTGTGTGTGTATATATATATAAATCTGAACATCTGGACAACATTAATAATCAAACTGATAGTTGTGTTTTGATGATGGAACAAATAGTTTCATTTACACACGATGAGAGCGGTGCGGACACATTTACCATATGTATCCTTGTTGTTTATTTATATTATTGATTGTGTACTGATCATTATCTCTTCTTTATTATTATTATTATTATTATTATTATTATTATTATTATTATAATTGATCATGATGTAGAACCGTTTGAATGCACCAAATCATTTATATATTTTTTGTAAACCTTGTCATATTTTATATTATTTTAATAAAAACGTATAACAGTAAATGTATTAATATCAGTGGACTGCTCATATAAAATAAGAGAGCAATAATAATAGCTGTGTTAATGTCTTCTTCTGGATATACAACTGTTTAATTTTTGTTTGTAAGGAAACCTTTTTTTTGTGGCAGATTTTATTTGTAGAACCTGAGAGAAAATTCTTTGTTTGAAATGTGAAATTATATGTGAGAAACTGGAGGCAACAGTATATTTGGTGTCTTATGAATCCATACGTGCACGTGTCAGTGCATGGCACAATAAATATCATCACAATATAATATAATAATTATAACAATAGTGTTTTTTAATCTTTATTCTTTGATCTCCTATCCTGTTTGTTTACTGTGGTTGTTGTCTTGATTGCAATATATTAATGTACGTTTTACTAGTTTAATAAGCCACATACAGACCAATATACACAGGTTATATTTTCATAAAAATGCCAGTACTGAAGATATTAGTAAGAGTAGCCCTGAGGCACTATGCTGGACTTGAAGTGTATTATTTTGACTTTAATTGTTATTATTTAGGAGTCCATTCAGATGAGACCAACAGTTCCCTCCTTTTTCGCCTTTACAGTAAAATCTGAGTTAATCTGCTGTTGAACAGGTGTAAGGCCCGTTCACTCCCACCCCCACTGATCTGCACACCTGCTTCTGATCTGACAGCCTTTCATGTCTGTAGTGAATAACTCAGTGAACATCAGGGTCCCATTGTTTCACGTTTTTTATTCACAAAAATACCAGGCATGCATAAATCCATCTCAGGAAAACATCAGGCATTTTCATGCGTTTCTAGTGCAGCCGCGTGATTTCTCCTTTAACCGCAGCTCAGTCAATATTTTTATATATATATACAACAATATTTTATACAGCAGGTCATACAAAACATGAAAATATAAATAGATGAATAGTTTTATGTTTCAACGTGGCACTTGGTTGCCGTCATACAGTAGAAATGACCAATGAACCATGGATACAAGAATACAAACACACTCTCTAAACATCTCTAACACACACGCAACAACAACACGCTTTCTCTCTCTCTCACACACGCACAGTGGAATGTCCTGGGATGACAGCAACTGTTTGCTTGCTCACCACAGTTAGATCTACATTATCAACACGTCATGTTTGTTTTTTTCACTGCAGAATGACAGTAGTCATGATGAGACAGACAAGAGTCCCAAACAGTTAAACAGCTAAAGCACTGAAAGCTAAGAGCGCCCACAAAAGTGCACATCATGGGTCAAAACATACAAGTCTGAGAGCAGCCCGGGTGCTTTATGACAGCAAAGAGTCTATGTGGAAACCTCGCGCCTTGCTGGGCATCTTGAGCGCGTGGAAAGCGGCCTCTGGTGCGGCCATGCCCGGTGCTGTCTGCTGGAGGTATGTGAGTGCATCCCTGCTGGGCTCTGTGCTGCTGTACCCCCCCTCTGACAGGTACGTGTGCTGTGCCGCGTAGCTCAGAGCGTAAGGCAGTATGTGGGCCCCTGGGGACCAGTAGAGCCGGGGGGCGTGGGTTTCTGCATCAACGTGGCTGTCCTCCCTCCGTTTGAAGGGTGTGCTGAGGATGCTGTCGATGGCGAAGGAGCTGGAGAACTTGGCCCCCACCCTCTCCTCCGGGGCGGGGAGGCGGGTGTCCTCGCTGAGGATGTCCGGGCTCTCCTGCTCCTTGGCGGACCTCTTGGCGATGCGCTTCCTCCTGCGGCGGAACACCCCGTCAGCAAAGGTGTACTCGCTTTGCGGGTTGAGCATCCAGTAGTTGTCCTTGCCCCAGGGCCTGGACGGGTCCCGCAGCACTTTGAGGAAGCAGTCATTGAGTGACAGGTTGTGGCGCACCGAGTTCCTCCAGCCGGTGTAGCTGCCCCGGAAAAACGGGAATTTCTTCATCAGGTAGTCGTTGATCTCTGCCAGAGTGAGGCGGCCGCTGCTGGACTCCCGGATGGCCATGGCGATGAGCGCGATGTAGGAGTAAGGGGGCTTGGGTCTGCGGGTGTAGGGCTTCCCCTTGCTGCCGTCGCCGCTCTGGGTGACAGGTGCCGGGCTGTTGGCCACGCAGTCCCCGTCCGACCCCTGTTGTCCACGCAGTCCCCGTCCGACCCCAGCTCGTCCCCGGATAGAGGAGACGGGACTCCCCCCTCTGCGTCCATGCACAACTCCAGCGGCTTCTGCGCGAAGTGGTGCGCAGAGAAAACTTCAAGTTTCATTTTCCCCAAAAAAGAACGAAGATCGTCTCCCTTAAGTGTCTCTCTTCCGTTAGAGTCTAGTCTCAGCGGAGCAGGTGCAGCAGTCCTGACAGCACAAATGTCTCTGAGTGTTTGTTGTAAAGACTCGTCTGAAGCGCTGGAGGCACCCTGAGCCTCAGTCTGGAGCAGCAGAATACAGATCTGTCTCCGGAGACACGCTTGTCTTGCTATAATATAATGCCTCGGCAAGGGACGGCCCACAGGCGGGGTTTGCAGCCCGAATCCATTGAAGCGATTGAGTGATATAATATATGTGTGTTTACAATTGGACGTTACCGTGCCACGCCAGTGAAGGAAAAAAACAGTGAGGGAGTGAGGCGAGAGAGGGCAGGTATGAAAAATAATTAGTCTAAAGTGCAACCAGAAGTCGTTTATGAAACAGATGATGAGAGACACAACAGCATCAACTCATCAGCTGTTTGCTCACATCCACTTTTACTGAACTTTAGAACCATTAAAAGGACAAAACGGGTCTGGATTCCAGATTCAGTGAAAGAGCATTAAAATTCTCGAAAACGTCAAAATTAGTTCAAATGCATTTTTTAAATTGTAGTCTTTGTCCGGTTTTAATGATCTTTTTTGTCTCTTTACTAGCTGCGGTCCAAGGTGACAGAGCCAATTAGATTTTAGATTGTTCCATGTGGAGAAATACACATTTTTACTTAATACCCCAAAGCCTCCAAAGAGTATGAAAAGTTCAATGTTGAGCTATATTAGTCATTGGCAGAAAGAAGAGAACAGAATAAATGGAAAAATAATAGAATAGACAAGGCTGTTCGCTGGTTCACTTCAACCTGTTCCTCCACCGGCACTCCGGTGGAACGGGGAAGTAAGGCGGGAGAAAAATTGAATTAAAAGAGATGGTTTTGGATGAGTTCCACGGAACGCACAATGAATGACATCTAAGCTCTCAGGTTAAGCAACAGGGTTGGAGGAATAAAAAAACAACAACAGAAAAATAAAGATTGCCTGAGAGTTCATGTAAAGTTCAGACAACCATTGCACCTGCATGCAAAGAAACACAGCAGCCAGGAAAACAGGCGACTCACTCTGCGTCTGAACCGGTGGGGCACATAGGCAGTGAGAGGGAGGCAGGCTCTGTCCCTCAAAGCAATTGTGAAAATCTCACTGTTTAATGTAAAGGGGAACCCTGATGACCCAACAATAAGACTGTATTGTTTTATTTTTAAGTATTCTTTCCAAGCTTTAAGTTAGATTATGTTTTGGATGTTGTTGGAAAGTCTGCTGTTTTCTGCTTTTTTTTTCTCTGATTTTATTGTTTAAAAAACACTCTAAACTTTTAATATGAGAAGACAGTGGCATTTATTTCTGTACAGGGTCAGGTCAGTCCAAATCTCATAATGCTTAATGAGAGCCAGGGCCAGAACAAGAGATTTTGTGGTCCTATAAGCAGAATTCCTCATCAGTGCAGTAGAAGCTGGTGGTTATTTTCCTGGTGAGTCTTTAGGTCTACAGACACTAAAGCCTCACCACAAGTGATGACACTAAATATAACCATGAACTGAGAGCTCTTATTCCATCCACAATTTATTAGGCACCACTGCCTACTGATCCGCATTAAATTCAACCAATAAGCTCAAAAAGCTCAATAGTCTCAGTTTCTTTGAATTGAATTGAAGTTTCGTGTTGTAACATGTTACATTACATATTATGTTCACATCAAAATACTTAAAAACTGAAAAGTAATGTAAAAAACTTTGACCATTTCAAACATTGGCGCCTCCTAGTGAGTGGTTTTTTTTACAGTTTGTACAGTTTTTTTGTACAGTTTTTTTTACTGTATTTTAAAAAACTTTAAAAAAATTATACAGTTCTGTTTCCTGCTGGAACTGTAGTTTAGTTACAGCGAGCTCAAAGATATGCAAATATCAAGCAAAATATAGAGGAGAATTCAGGACCATTTGTTTTAAACTTTGTATATTGTTGCAGCACATGTTTGGGGCCGTGACCATTTTGACCCTGATGACAAATTAAATATATGAGCCATAAATCTCATAACGCGCATCACGTCAAGCTATATTCAGTAAACTAGTGTTTATAGGGACTGTAGCCACCCTAACTGGTTTTACGTAAACTGACGTCCCACCAATCTTTCTCCTGTCAACGCCTTTCAGCCAGATGACGATGCAGAGAGAGGCTGGGGAGGTAAACATGAGTTATGAGCTTGGCCTCAGGCCAGTAATAATCATTAAACTGTCTTCTCCGGCACTCCTCCTATTTCACCTGCTCGGACTTTGCTGGGACCAACAACAACTTTAGTGTAAGTTCAACTCTGAACACCATCATATTCATGTGTGTGCACCTACAGAAGCCTTATGAAAAGATTTATAGTGACCCTATGATAAATTATGCTAAACAAAAGCCACATGAGGAATCCCTGTAGGAGTAAAACTATTAAGAATTTCATAATGATACCATAGGATATAAGATAAGGTCAATATAAACTACCTGCTGCCAACCAGTCTGCTCCTTACAGCACTGAGATATGAATCTATGTTTGGAATCCCGAGCCGTTTGTGTCTACATGTTTAAATTTTATCACCTAATTATAACTCTGAGCGTACGTGACAGGCATGATTAAAGATCTCATACTACCCAGATCTATTTGTGTGTGTGAGTGTGTGAAAGCAGTAGAATTCGGAGGGTAAGTAGGTTAATTACGTGTACATGTACTTGAAGTCTGTGTCTGTTTTTCCAGTCATGTCACATGAAAGGCCTGTTGACAGCCCCTTTTTTTGAAACAAAGTTTATCTGTCGGCCGTTCATCTCTAATGCTGGAGTATAAATGGAACAGATATGTGTTTTGTGAAGTCCAGGCAACTCAAATTTAGCCATAGGGAAAGATTATTTCGATAACTGTTGTTTGGAGAGAGAAAATTAACCTTGGTTTCCAGTGTCAAAGTTAATCATTCATAGCTCTTACCACCTCCCTACTGAAGGCTGTTTGTGGCGCTACATATCCATTTTTTGGTAAATTGATTGAAAACAAGACTAAATCAAAATGGAACCTGGCTCTCGATAAACTGATCTGAACTACAAACCAAGAACGTAAAGTAGCAGGAAAACTTTTACTTTCTTTTCACTCTAAAAACTGAAAAGTTGTCTGTAACATCCTGAGTGGTTAATGACCCCAGACCAACACCAGCCCTTCCTGAACCAGCCAGCAGTCAGACCCCCCAACCCCATCCAGTACACACTTCAGTAAATGTCAGCAGTATTTTAAGATCCAGACCTAAATGAAGTTGATTTAAAGGCTGCTTTGGCGCTTAATTCAATCTTTGCTGCTCAGTGTAAAGATAGAAAATGTTTTTCTTTAAATGTACATTGCTGTCATTTCTCTGTAAATTGAAGGTCTTGGACATATTTTGCCTTCAACATTAAAGGAACACAGATACATCTTAAAATCTGAAGCCTGGAGTCCGTTCCAATATCAGAAACTCTGTAGCGTCAGTTGTGACGGGAGAAAGGATGTCAGGGAATCCAAAGGTCGTCAGACATCCTCTGATCAAATTTAGATTTTGGAAACTGCTTCCTTCTCTCACCGGGACATTGCCGCAGCAGCTGGAGAGTTGAAACCAAAATGTTTTTGTTGAAACTCAGAAGGCCCACCGCTGTGAGCCTAAAACCAGAGCTGAGGAAAGCAGTGGCGTGCGTGCTATCATTATCGCCGCCACCGTACAACACTCTGACAACGCACAAAGAGAATTTTACACCACTAGGCTGGTGGTAGGTGTGCCTGCGTCTGTTTTTTTTTTCTTTGTAGAAGTGTGATGAGGCTGTATTTGATTTCAGGTACTCTGCCAAGACGGCTACACACACCTGTGCTGCAGTGATTTGGTGTGAAAGGCAGCACACCTGTTTTCAGTTTTCATCCTCCACATGGCAATTTGAAATCAGAAGTGGAAAGACAATTTCCCCACAGGGGTCAATAAAATACTACATTACCGGTTTCCTCCGGTGATCTGGATAAAGGCTCATTGCAGAACATTGCATCATTTGAGAAGGTCAGGATTATCTTTTAGCTTCAGGTTCTAATGGAAATTGATATATATATAATGCAGTAAAATTGCTTTAATTGCAAGGTCATTGAGGTCATTACAGTCAACTCTGCTATACAGTTATTCAAGACTAGAGAAAAACATCATGCTTATACAACCTGTTAAGTGTCTCTCCTAAAATTGGCTTGTTGTTATAGCTCACCTATACATGACTTAGAGTGTCTCTTTTGAGCAGGAGGAGAAATGTCTTTTAAGTGCTGACATGAGTGGAATTCCAGTAATGTAAATTCATCGGGTGAATCCTTTTGCAGTTCCAAAAATAGCCCCACCTCTGCGGCGGTCTGTGCTCACACGCATACCCTTGTCTACATGTCTCTGGATGACTTCTTACCTGTATCTCATCTTTGTTGTCTTTCTTCTCTGTGAGTGAAGGGTGTCCAGCCCCCATGCCTTTGTATAAACAAAGTAAAGACTGTGGGTGAGCAGGACAGGGAGGAACGCAACAAGAGGCGCTGCGTAGCTGAGATTCCCAAGATTCCCTGCAGCAGATTTAGTCTCTGACAGAGGCCGCTGATGGTGGACATGCTTCATTTGGGCACACAGGTAGGTACGGCAATGTGTCTACTTCACAGCCAACCTAAAAAACAGACATTCCACATCAATTCCAGTCATTCCTGCACTCGGCACAGAGGTTTATGTATGGGGGTGTATAGTGTCTGCAGCTGTGTCTGCTCAGGTGTGGGTGTGAAAGTGTGTGAGACTGCGCATGTGCTTCAGCAAAATAGAAGTGTAAGACACATACATTCCATCTAGTTTATTCTTCGAACAGTGATTACTGTAATTACCCAACAATGCAGCCCTCTAAACGTTTGCTGCCTGCTTTGTTGCGCTTCTGTAGAATCATACCTTTGTGTTTTGGAAGATAAATGGTGGGGGGGCACCCAGTCCATATAATCAGAGGCACACCTGAACACTTAACAGTAACAAACAAAAAGTTCCCACGAAGCTGTTGTGATACATAACAGAAGAACTTTCCATATTGAATGCACTCATAAGCAACCGCTGCATGTAGCATAAAAAAATGGTTGGATACCTGATATACACACACACACACA